GTAAAATTGTATTTAATTCGTTCTTCGATTGTTATCGAGAATTAGCTCAATAAATTTCATATAAAACGTCATTCCGAACGAGGATTTCTTCAATGACTATATTCCTATTATATTCTGTATAATTAAATGTCAATTTCTGATTAAAAAATTATTATATTTAATTCAATATTGATGAGAATTTATTTTTCACTTATGTTAATTTATATAGAATAATTTATATAGAATAATCAATCCGTAATATCTTAATGCAGGAATAACTAAATAAAATAGAAAATTAGCCTAGAGCTCATTTTTATGTATCATATGTTAATTGACATTGGATGAGGTTACATAAATACATTTTCTTTATTATCACTAATGAAGACTTTGTAAGTCGAAACGTTTGAAATTTATAGCATTATACGAATGTAATAAAAGACGAATTTTATTTATTAACTATATTTGCTCGTTTTTTAAAAAAGCCTTGATACTTTAAATTTATAACTTTTATATTTATTAAAAACGCATTTATTTTGTATAAAAACGTTTTTCAAATAATCGAGATAATACAAAATATCCGAAACAAGGCACATGTTCGAATGGTCTCACGGATTAAGTTAGGTGACATGCTCACTTGTCCTAAATCCGTTCGTGTCATTGAACATTAGAGTACATGAATATAATTGCTCCAACCGCCATCTTACCTGTGATCCAAGTGTTCTCTGAGTTAATTTGGAACATGCGACGCAAACAAACCTACTGTTGTGAACAGGACCGAGGTAAGGCCGAACTGTTCGGGTAAAGTTAATTACAAATGGCGCTCAAAATCATAATCAAAATCATAAACATAAAAATCCGTTCCGTTTAGCGAATATCCTCCCAAGAGATCACGAATCAAGACCACTTTCATTTCACGGAGTTTCCTTCTCTTTTACTTTGTAGACATGATGATGAATCCAAGGCATTGGAAGCATCCGAGCGACATTTCCGAACGCAGCCAATGTAAACTCAGAGAGCACTTGGATTATGGACACAATTTAACTATATACAGTTGCGACACAAAACTTTTATAATGGTCTGCAATTTTTAGTGCGCATGCGTCCGTGATAAAATTAGGAAAATACTAGTCTGCATTACATATACTATACCATTTTCCTAGTTTTTTGTATGCAATATTTTTCAAGAATAGCAGCCCAGGCTGTGTTCCAAAATTCACACCGCTGAAAAAAATCTACAGTCTATGTTATGTGTACTATACATTTTCAACAGTGAATTTTGGAACATAGGTATATGACGGATATATTAGGGGCTGCGCACAATGAAGAAATAGGATCAAAGAATAAGAATTCCAACAAATCAGAAACGATGCAGTATAGAATATATATAGAATATATATAGTTTCTGACAGGTTAAAATTCTTATTCTGTTCCTGTTCCTATTCCTTCATTATGTGCAGCCTCTTACAGACAAGGAGATCCTAAAATTGTTTGTATTATCGATTAAGGTATTCATAGTCCGTTCTTATTTCACTGTTCTTAAGTAAAGTCTTAAGACGCTAATACAGTCCTCTGATTGGTTCGTCTTAAGTACAGTCTTCTTAAGACTGTACTTAAGATCTTGAATATAAGATTTAATTAATACCGCCCTAAATAATTTTTGTATAATAATTACTTTTTTCCTCTTTTACATATTGGAAAATCTTTTTCTAGGATTAAAGTATACGCATTGATATGTGTCTGTGAGGTAGTTTATGCAGAGAATGACAAAAAATTTTTTTTAAGATTTCAATTTCGAAATTTTTTGTCGTTCTCGGCATAAATGCATACATGGAGTGTATGTAAACCTTGAGATACGCTGATAAAAAAAATATGGGCTTAATATTTTTTTATATTCTACAACATATCCAAAGCCCATCAAAATTAGTGAGGGACGGCTTGGACGGTTCTCTTGTTAATTCAAAGAGTACAATAATAAAAAATAGACCTATGATATGATTGATGACTACGTTTATATTCGATTTACGTCGATGTTATAACATCGATGTTATGAATTGGCAAATCACAAGGTCAATGCGATGTTACAAATGCTTTAAAGCGTTTTTTGACTGATCAATTTGTAAAATTCTTTCTTCTAATTGATCAATCATTTCAAAACATTTATAATGAGACTTTGACCGCAATGGTCGCGCTCAGCAGACTCAAAACTGTTGCGGAATGGATCCGTGAAGCTCATTGCTATTGAATAATCTAAAAGGATATTTCAATAGCAGCGAGCATTTATGGATTCACTCCGCAACAGTTGAATCTGCCGAATGCAACCATTGTCATTCCATTCTTCGGAAGAATAGTTATGATTTTATAATATCGATGTTATAACTTCAGCCACAGACTTGTATAAATAGACTGTCAATTTCGCCTCCCTGTTTGAAGATAGCGCTGGACAGCACCATATTTGAGTTCTCTCACTCACACATGTATAAATGGCTATGTTTAATAGAAAAAGCAATTTTGCAACTGTTATGTAAAATTCGTGAGTATGATTTGTTTTATACATTTAGGTTGACATTCATAATCGATTCTTATTTCAAAACCGTCTTAAGACATTAATGCGGCTCTCTGATTGGTTCATGATTTCTTAAGACCGTACTTAAGATGATCTTGAATATAAAATTTGATTATGAATATCGATCTTAAATCCAGTGAGAAACTAAGGGCAAGACCACCATATTAAAGAATTTTACAGCAGTTGTAAAACTTATGCTTTTTCTGCTGAACGCAACCAATTACATGAATAAATTCACACTCACAGACAGGACGCATACATACGTATAAACTAAAAGCAGCTCGGAATCAAATTCATCTCTTTCTACTTCACATTGATCCAGCAGTCTGTTTATATAAGTCTGTAAGCGTAAATAATCGAACTGTGTAAACGTAGTCAGTAAGTCTGAAGATAATGGAGAACTCTTTGCTTTATTAGTATATTTAGAACTTTAATGCCTCCGGCACACCAGCGCGATGTTCGTCGCGTGTGACTAACATCACGCTGGTGTGCCGGAAGCGTAAAGTCTGTGTTTACCGTGCTAAAACTCTGTTCTTGTAGGAATGTCTAGCCAATTAACGTAATTTTTACGGAAAAACGGCAAATTGATTAGCTACATAGATATTTCTTGACATTCGAGAATTCGGATCGAGTTTTAACATCATGGACACAGGATTTTATTAAGTAACTTATTAAATAGTATACAGGATATCTGATAATCATTCTAACGGAGTTCGTAGAGCGACTAAACTGAGACGGAAAGTCCTTTACTATTTTGCAATTTTTAATAAGATATTAATTGCTAAAAATTGCCGAAAATTGGTCTTCAATAATTCTTTACTCAATTATATCTAATAATAATACTATCAATTTTACAGAAAAATTGCATTGAAAATTGTTTATTTTCTTCTCATAGAATTTTATGAATTTTTTCTCAACTTTCTTGTATTGCATTTTCTCATTTTTATCAACATGAGAAAATTAACATTTCGATATCTTAAACATTGCAAAAATTTTTAGTTCCAGATACGAATGTCACGAGCTGCACAATTATGCAAGATTATATTTTTTAACGTATTTACAAGAGACTAAAGTATTTATACTGAAAAGATTCTCATAAGGAGAATCTTATGTTTTTTACAAGAGCATATTAAAGCATACAAAAGAATATTAAGAATCACGAATTGGAAAATTAGAAAAATCTGTCAGAATTGAATTCAAGCGATAACGATATAAAAATAATAAGAGATTATTTTTATTGTTATTAAGAGATAAGTTGTAAGGCTTAAATATAATCTTTTCTTTTTTATTATTATCCAAATTAACAAGTGATACAAAAAACGAGAATGTATATCCTATTTTCCTTCGTTAAAACGTAAATTTTAACTCTCCGTATAATTTTTGTCTCCATATTTATGCATTTAGCGATAGCAAGAAATATACAACAACAATGTAAGCACCTATCGTGATTTATTTTCATGCATATTAATTATAAATCATAATGCTTGATAGGGAAAGTGTATGACATTCAAAATATTGCTTGTAATGATTATCATACAATGGATAAACATTAACGAATACATTAATGAATACGGAAGACTTTATTATCTTTATTTAGAGTTATTAAGGCTTGTCCAGTAATTGCTGTCCAATAATTATGTTCTCAAACAGCCTATAATTTAAATATTGCAATGAAGGGATTAAATGGCGTGTGTACATTAACAAAAAATAACGTGTAAATAAGATATAATCGTATAAAGTGATACATTTTTTAGTGGAACAGTATAATATTACGAAGAGTAACATTAAATTTTGCTAGTGATACGCTTTATTATTGTATACAAATAAGCAACAATTTACAGAGTTATCACTAATTTAAAGCACATTAATTTTATTAATTATATGTTTCTTGTGTTCTATAAAATAAAATTATTTTGATGATAGTGTTGTTCATAAAAAGTAAAGTTATAATTTGTACCATCGCAAGTTTTAACATGCTACATGAATTACACATACGTACATATGTATATATAGTTTTGGCCAAAATATTAGATATTTGAATATGTTGAGCTAGAACTTTATATTTTTGCATTAGAAAAAAGAAATTAAACAACATGAATTGATACCAATTAAAAAATTTATAGTATATATAAAGAAACAATACTATATGATATATATAGAAAATATATATCTTTGATAATTTTTGCATAATACAAATCTTTGTTTATTCAAGATCTGTTGTCAGGTATTATCCTAATTATCCTTAATTCTTTCTTCACAATTGATATGAGGTCATTCATATTCTGTACGAGGGCTGTTTGATAAGTTCCCGTGTTTGATGACTGAGGGCGCCTCTGACTAAAAGTTTGTATACCATCGTGTAACGTCATTTTTTGAACGCAGTAAAAATTTCAGACAGCTGTACCGGTTAGTTTAGTTTTTATAATTGAAAGTTGACGAGTTTGTGCTTGTTTGCAATCATGGAGAAAGAGCAATATCGGTCTGTGATTCGATTCCTGTTTTTGGACGGGAAGACGTGTAAAGAAATCAAAGAAAAATTGCATGCCGTATATAAGGACAACGCATCTTCGATAACTACCATAAGATATTGTACAACGAATTTAAGCGTGGTCGAACATCCATTTTTGATGAAGAGCGCCCAGATCGTCCGATTGACTATGGAGGATATGATCAACAAAATCCATGATATCGTGTTAGCAGACCGCCGGGTGAAGATCAGAGAGATTGCTAACATTGTAAAGATCTCAACTGAACGCATACAAAATGTCCTACACGAAACATTGGGCATGAAAAAGCTATCGGCGAGATAGATGCTGCGTTTGCTCACAGTGGAACAAAAACGGAATCGTGACAACTTCAAAGCATTATTTGGACATGTTTAAGCACAATCCGAAAGAGTTTCTGCAGCGTTTCGTCACTGTTGACGAAACATGGATCCACCATTACACACCAGAAACGAAAGAACAGTTTAAATAGTGGACTAAATCCGGCGAATCTGCTCCAAAGAAGACAAAAACGGTTCCATCGGCCGGAAAGATCATGGCTGTTTTTTGATTGGGATTCGCGAGGCATCATTTTCATCGACTATTTGGAGAAGGGAAGGACAATCACGGGACAGTACTGATTTATTGGACTAATTCGACGCTGAATTGAAGAAAAAACGGCTTCATTTAGCGAAAAAAAAAGTGCTCTTTCATCGTTAATAACGCATCATTCGTCTGCAATCGCCATGACAAAATTGGTCGAATTAGGCTACGAATTGTTGTCTCATCCATTCTATTCTCCAGACTTGGCCCCCTGCGATTTATTTTCAAATATGAAAAAATGGCTTGGCGGAAAGGGCTTTGCATCAAATGAGGAAGTCGAAACAGAGGCCTATTTTAAGGAGTTCGACCAATCATATTTTTTAAACAGTATAAAAATATTGGAATATCGCTGAGCTAAATTTATCAAACTGAAAGGAGATTATATAGAGAAATAAAAAAAAAAATTTTTTTTTAAAGTGTTTCTTCCCTAACACGGGTATTTATCAAACAGCCCTCGTAGTTGCTGTAAAATTTCTTTAAAAACTTAATTCTTCTTTTTTTTAATTTTATTTTTTCAATTCTAAAATTTTCTGCTTAATATTCTCAAACATTGTTGACTTCTTTTCTAATACATTAATGGCTGTCCATAAGTCGTGATTTTTTTACACCTAAATAATATAAAAAAGTGTTAATTAAACAATGATATTGTTATGTTCAAGCATTTAGAAGTTTAGTCGAGGAGACTATAAGGGAAAATGGAGAGGACATGGAAGCTGGACAGATATACGCGTGGAGGCGAACATCTATGAGTACGCACTTTTTCGGTCCCGGAATATGAGTCAACATCCCAAAGAGACGCTATGATATCTGTTCCGATGGAGAGTGCGAACGTCGGTCCTACTTTTTGGGTCAAGGAACTTAATTCTTTTGATCTGGGACTGGACCCATGCGATCTCAGGTATTTAGAGGGAAAGGGACGCGGATGGTGATTTAAATAATCAGAAATGGAAAATTTTCATTCATAATATAAAGATCTATATTTATGATAAAAAAAAATTTTAAGTTTATGGTAAATAATTGTACATATATTTATATAAATATAATAAAGAAAAAAATCTTATCATTATTGGTGTGATTATAATTTGTTTAATTTAAATTTAGCTATATGGAGGTGTGAGTGAGTAAGTATGTGCGTGTACATGTGTATGTGTACACGAGAACAGAAAATAGATTATTGGATACTGGAAGCGAGGAAAATGGTGCAGGAGCACATCGGATTAAGGTGTTTGAGGACAGTGTAAGGGGTTTCCAAAGATGTAGACTGTAACTATTCTGTTCCCTTCGTTCGAGGGGAACGAATACAATCTAAAAAGCCGATCCCAATCGATCGGCATGGGATTACCCTGAGGGGAGGTTTAGGAGAGGAGAAAGTCTTTCAAGAGAAGGAGGGGAAGAGAATTGTTCCTTAAGAGGGGAAGGGGAATAATTCAGGATTTCTTGAATGGCGAGATCGACGGAGAAGAGGTGAGGTCTAATGGTTGTGAATGATTAGAAACTGGCGAATAAGATATTTCGATGAAGCTAGCATCGGTCGATTGTGGCGGGACGACTGTGGCTGTGATTGTGCGGATCCGCTTACTCCTCCGCATGTAAGGGATTCGTCCCCGTTTTTTGGGTATACGAACATGCACTATAACCGAAGGATATATCTATATACAGGGTATCTGGAAATAATTGCCAAATATTTCATGGGCAGGTAGAGCGGACTAAAGTCGAAGCGGACTGAGTCGAAAAGTCCTTTATCATTTTGTAAGTTTTCCCTATAGTTGATGAGATATTAATCCTTAAAGATAATCGAATATTACTGTAAAGTGTAGACGCCTACCGATCGTTTGGCGCGCGGGCCGTGGGAAGCGGGGATAGCCTGGCAAGCGCGCTGTCCGAGTTATAGAGACTTGCGACGGTATACGCGGTGCGAGGCACTTGCCAGCCAATCCCCAACTCTCAAGGTCCGCGTCAAGTGATCAGTAGGTATATATACTTTGCAGTAGGCCGGGTGAGCGCGCGTATTCGACTATCTTTAAGAATAATATCTTATTAACTATTGGAGAAATTTACAAAATGACGGTAGAGGACTTTTCGACTCAGTTTAGTCCACTCTACCTGCCTATAAAATATTTGGCGATTATTATTTCCAGACATCCTGTATATATTGGGAAAAAATTCGTGGCGTTTTTCCCGCTAGATGGCATTAAATGCTCAGTAGTCAGCAACTACTAATTGCAACGGCAACACTAGACGTGCATTTAAAAAGTGACATTTTAATCTTTGTTTTGAGCCAAAAAAGATTGAAATCGATGAAGTGGATCAAATTATTTTATTTTGAAAATGGAAATAAATAAGGAAAAAATTCGCTACATTTTGCAGTATCACTACATAAATATAAAGGCAAGAATGCTGCACAGGCTTGTGAAAAAATTTGCGCTATTTACGGTGAAGATACTCTATCAAAACTAGCAGCACGGAAATGGTTCGCTCGCTTTCGTGCTGGAAATTTCGATGTGAAAGATGAACCTCGCTCCGGTCGACCAATCACTGAAAAGTCCGATGAAATCATGATAAAAGTCGAGCGTGATAAGTATGTGAGCACTGTGGAGATTGCCAGGGAACTAGGCATCGATCACGAAACAGTTTTACATCATTTACATAAAGCTGGATACAAAAAGACGCTCGATGTTTGGATTCCTCACTGGAGTTGAGTGTAAGGAACATGATGGACTGAATTAACATTTGTGATACGCTACTGAAACGGAATGAAATTGAGCCATTTCTGAAGAGAATGATAACTGGTGATGAAAAATGGATCACCTACGACAATCCAACTAGAAAAAGATCGTGGATAAAGAAAGGAGAGACGGCGCAAGCAATCGCAAAACCTGGATTGACGAGGAAGAAAGTGATGTTGTGTATGTGGTGGGACTGGAAGAGAATCGTTCACTATGAGCTATTATCCAATCAAACAATTAATTCTGAACTCTACTGTGAACAACTGCAGAGATTACAACAAGCAATTGAGAGGAAGCGGCCAGAATTAATCAATAGGAGAGATGTCTTCCATCACGACAACGCTCGACCACATACATCTTTGATGACTCGACAAAAATTGCGAGAGCTTGGCTGGGAAGTTTTAATACATCCACCGTATAGTCCTGACATAGCACCCTCAGACTATCGTTTGTTTAGGTCTCTGCAGAACTCTCTTAATGGTGTAAAGCTAGCTTCAAAAGAGGTCTATGAAAATCACTTAAAGCAGTTTTTCGATCAGAAAACCACAAAAATTGAGAATTTCTATCGCGATGGAATTATAGCTCTGCCCCAAAAATGGCAAAATATTATAGAAAATAATGGAGCATATTTGGTTTAAATAAATTGATTTCAATACTCTAAGAAAAACACTTTAATTTTACTAAAAAAATCGCCACGAACTTTTTCCCATACCCAATATTTCTGTTAAGTGCGTAAAAAATTATATATATATATATATATTTTTTTTTATTGGGGGAAGATATATTAATATCTCTTCGAAAGGAATGGCAGGACTTACTATTAGCTGATCGATCCACGAGATCTCTAGTAGATGTAGGTTGAAACGAACGTGCAGCCTCGCGGTCTACAAAAGAGCGCCAGGAAGACAGTCGCAGTGGCCAGTGATTTATTGGGTGGCCCCAATAATGATAGTTGTCCACAATTTTATGCACTAACAATACGCGAACTGGCGTGAAGTTTCCAGAATTCAGCGCGAGTTTTCACTGACTGATTTGGTGCTGAGCGACGCGAACTACGATAGGCTGATTTCATACTGATACTCTGCGCTTCCGTGGGACCTTTATTTATATCCCGAAAAACGGTGTCATAGTGCCTTTTGTCTAAGTGCAATAGTTAGTTACAATGTCACGTGAGATTTACGATTTTTATAGTGTCCTATCGTTGTTAATCTAAAATGCCATTAGAAGGGTTTCGAGAAAAAATTATTTACGCTTTTCTTTAAAGAAGTAAGATTCAGACGGACGACGAATTCTGTCATCTTCGTGGAATATGGTTAGGTAAACAGACGGTTATCGTGCACAACTAGTTTTGCGTGCAAGGCAACCATTGTTAGTCGCGAGTTCGATCTTAGATAACGCTACCATGGGAAGTTATTCCATGCGTTTTATGATTCTTTAGACGCGACGTAGCGTCTGTTTTCTTAAGAAATTGTTGGTCAGTCTGGGACGACAAAGCTTGGAATTTTACTATTGCGTGACTTTGATGCATTTATAGTGTCTTTTGCAATCTTGTCATTTTGTCATTCTGCATTAAGGTTGTTATTCCTTGCGGGTTGATTGGCGTTTACGAGTTTTCGTGGAGCTTGTCCGGTATCTCTTTTCAGTTCTGTTCAGACCATTATCAGAGAACTCCACTCGAGTCTCATAGACGCCATGGTCGCGACATGAGCCGATTCTTTCAAAAGAAAAGAATCGTGGAAAAGAATCTGTAGAACGTAACAATATTAATTGAAAATGTTAAAGGGATGTTAGCGTGGAAAATAGTGAACAGTGTTAATTAAGTAAATTATTTTAATGGTTTATCAACATTACAAATGTCGAAGTGAAATACAAAAATTTTCTGATGTATTATATCAGAGAATTTTGTATTTGATTTCGATAGTTTTGATGTCGGCAAACTATCAAAGTAATTTACTAATACTTTGCGCACTGTTTTCTGCATCGATTATTAATATTTCT